CCAGCCAGCTTTGCTGGCTGGGGAATTCTGGGAGTTGAAGTCCACCAGGCTTAAAGTTACCAAGGTTGGAGACCCCTGCTGTAGAGCAATGATGGCTAACCTTTTTGGCACCAAATGCCCAAAGCACGCATGCGCATCACCAAAATGCAATGCATGCATGCCCCCCCCCCCCCCGCCCCCCCCCCCCCCCTACCTGCCCCCCCCCCCCCCCCCCCTCCCCCGCCCCCCCCCCCCCCCCGCATGCGCAGGAGAGACCCGAAGACCAACTGGCCAGCTGAGCTGGGGTGACGGCTCGCATCCCTAGAGAGAGGGCTCTGTGTACCATCTCTGGTACGCGTGCCATAGGTTCTCCTGTTCTGACCAAGGCTTCCTGAGACCGTAATTAAGCACACGCTTAGTGCAAACCACTCTTGTATTATTTCAGTGCTGGGAATTATGTTCATTCCCAGCCCGTTATGAGTCCCAAACAGTCCCTCAAGATAAGCACCCACCTTTCTCTCCTTTGAAGTGCCGCCAACAACTAAAGTGCCAAACTAACTGCAAAAAAACCCCAACCAAAGTACAAAGTCCATCCAGAGCTTCAAGGCTTAATCCGAACAGAGCGAACGACTTTGCTTCCTGCAAAGGTTTCTCCACCTTTGCCTTTACTTTATACCTTAGGGGAGGGGTAATCACCTCAAAGCCTTATTCCCAAGTCGCCCCTTTTGTCTCACCTGCTCTCGCCTTCTAGCAGCTCTGCTCACATGCGCACTGGGAACAGGCTCCCCTTGTTCCTCTGCCTCACTGCTGCCAGACTCCGGAGGCTCTGGAGCCATCTCTGTATCGGATGCAGGACCCTCATCCGAGTCCTCCCCAGGCTCCTGGACTGGTCCCTGTTCTTCCCAACTGTCTGATTCCACTGCCATCTGCACAGGCTGCCGGCAAACCACAACATCTCCACCACGGCTATAGAACTTCTCATCTCCACAAATAACTCAGCAGCCATGCGGAGCCAATGCTATTCCAACATGACACTGGGTTTGCCCATCTTGGCAATGTTAAGATGCGGTGAACTTCAACTCCCAGAATGCCCGCCGAAGAATTGTGGGAGTTGAAGTCCATGCATCTTGTCAAGAGTTTTAGGAAAGCCTGCTTGAAGCACTGGGACATAGAGGTGGGAGTCAGGCCACTGAAGCACAGAGATTTTTCGGATATCCACAAAAGAGGTCAATACATACTTAAGCATAGTATATAAAATCATATGTTACAACATCTTTACCAGTTAATGAATATTTCAGCTTTAACAACAACACAAGAGCACACAACAGATATAAATTAAATGTAAACCACTCCAAACTCGATTGCAGGAAGTATGATTTCAGCAACAGAGTGGTCAATGTCTGGAACTTACCACCTGATTCTGTTGTCACCTGCTCAAACCCCCACTCCTTTACCCTCAAACTATCCACTATTGACCTCACCCCATTCCTAAGAGGTCGTGCAGAAGCGCACAATCGTGCCTACCATCCCTGTCCTATTGTCCCCAATAGTCCCTATTTCTTGTATTTAAAGTTATGTTTATTCTTGTTTCTGTTCTATTGTAAGCCTTTGGCAAAATAAAATAAATAAATAAATAAACGTACTGTTTCCGAAGGTCAGACAATTTAGCTGTCAAAGCAGAAATCTCGCCCAAGGACCGCAAAATGTCATCTCTCTCTTTGGGGTCTTCACAGAGTTCTGCGATTTTCCTGGCTTCCGCCATGATGCCCCGGATGTGCTCTTCTCCTTCGCTGCCCCCGTTAGGATCTGCCAGCCAGCTCTTCATCAAGAGAAAGAAGGGTCAACAGGGGTCTGCTTCAGTGGTGGGATTCAAACATTTTTACCACCAGTTAGGTGGGCATGGCTCGGTGGCTTTATGCACGTGCACAGACTTTGTGTGAGTGTGCGCGCCAAACGCACACTTTGCACAGGCACAGAGGCATTCTAACTCGCCTCCTGCAAGCCTGCACTCTCCCTATTGCTTCAGCAGCTGCTGCGCAACGCTATTCTGTGCCACACAAAGCAGCTGTGCTTCAAATTCAGAGGATAAAGGTGAGTATGGGAGCACAGGTGTGGGCCCAACAGCAGAGGGGCGGAGAGAACCAGTTTGGTCTCTGCTGCTCATCGCTGTTACCGGCTTGAGAGAACTGGGCCAAACCAATAGAATACCACCACTGGTCTGCTTGTAATCTTTGAATCTCCTAACACTGAAATGCTGTTCGGGTCAAAGGTGATTCAACGGGCAGATAATGCAGCCCACATTTTCTTGGGGCAGCCCAATGTCTATCTCAAGGTTCTGGCATAAAGTGAATTTACAGGAAGCCGATAGGAAGAATACGTAAGATCTGCAATTGTTGGATTCAATCATTCTCAAATCATTTGTCAGCGTTCCAATGAAACTTCCCATTTCATTCAGCACTCAGAAACAAAATTCATCCAAGTAAGAACTGATTAAAGAAGTCACATTGGCACGTCTGGGAATCTGAGAGTTCCAGGTTTTCCCTTCCCAACTGAAATTCAAAGATCCCTCCCCTGCACCCTCCAATCCATCACATGGCCCAACCAACCATCGTCCCAACTGGAGACATTCCTCCAGACACTCCTCTCCAGGTGCAGGGTTACTTGTCCTTGACTTTCTGAGAAAAGAATGTTGTGGAGTCTAATCTTCTACCACTCTATGCAATTCCCCCTCCCAAATTCCCAGGCACTAAAATGTGGCAGCTTCAAAGGTTCTACGCAAAATATGGCTTCCAAAGATGACATCATTCCAGCAACAAAAGTTATTATACATTGAAAATCAGAAATCATTTTAAGGGCATCCACCACCCTTCCCTCTTCACAGCAAAGGCTGTGAGTTACCTGAGCAGCATCAATCTTCTTGGCTATGGCCTGCTTAGAGTTGGTCATGGCCTCCAGCTTGCGAGCTGCGTTTTCCACTCTCGCGGTTAGTAAGTCCAGCCCTTGAGCAATCTGCTGAGCTTTCTGCATGGCAAGAGGAGTGGTACCTTGTCCCCTGTTCAAGGGGAGAAAAAAGACATATAAATACCCAGGTACATTTGCCACAGTTGACCTGGGTACACAGAATTCAGACAGAGCCAAGTTAGGATCCAGAGTGATGGGATATAGGCCACGGCTGCTTAGATAAGGCCAAACCTCCCCTAACTAACTAAATAATAGAACACCCCCACCCAACCCCGCTATCTGCCATCTTCTGGATTATGGACCTTTCATCTTAGAGCTACATAGGGAAGAGAAATGATGCATCATGAGGAACCCTCACAATATTGCCCAAAGTACAATCACATGACTGTTGGGGAGGCAGATGTGGCCGAAATCAGTTGTAAGTAGGTTTAGAGGGGTATGTCACAACTTCAAACCGTTGTTAAGCAATGGTTTTCGGTCAAGGAATACTTGTATTTGTTTTCTTTACATAATCCAGCAACTGTAAACTGATGGAAATTCTCCATGGAAATTTGACAAGCAGAATGCTGGGAAAGCTGAACAAGTTTTTTCCACCTCTACCCTGTTTCCCTGAAAATACAACCTACCCTGAAAGTAAGTCCTAGCATGTGCGCCCAATATAAGCCCTACCCCCAAAATAAGCCCTAATTAAGTCCCCGCCCATTCCAGAGGGCATGGGTAAAAATTAAGCTTGGGTGCGGATGGGGGTGGTGGAGTTGCCCTACTACTTACCTTTGAACAGTTATAGCCAGGCCTCACACACCCCGACACCTGCCTTGCTAGCCCATTTCTTCTGAAGGCCTCTCCTGAAGGCCTCTGTAGCTGATAACAAAGCTCTGGATCGATCCAAAGCTCTGTTATTGGCTGCAGAGGCCTTCAGAAAAGCCTTGCCAGCTGCAGAAGAAATTCCTGAAGGCCTCTGACAGCAAAAAGGATAGTGGTGAGATTCAAAAAGTTTTACCACCGGTTCGATGGGCGTGGCTTGGTGGGCACACTATATGCACGTGCATACATTTTGTGTGCGCGCGTGGGTGAAGTGTGCACTTTGCGCAGGCGCAGAGGTGTTCCAACTCACCTCCTGCAAGCCTGCACTCCCCCGGTCGCTTCAGCAGCTGGCGCGTGGCACTCTGCTGTGCCACACAACGCAGCTGCGCTTCAAAAGCGGAGGATAAAGGTGAGAACGGGAGCCCAAGTGGGCAGGTGGGCCCAACAGCAGAGTGGCGGAGAGAACCTCCATTGCTCATCACCACGACCAGCTCGGCAGAACCAGTAGAATACCACCACTGGAAAAGAAGGCTGGGAGCGATGCGTGGAAGTTTAGTTTAGTCAGTGGATGGCATCCCCCAAAAATAAGACCTGGTGCCTTTTTTGGTGGCATATGTATCTATGTATGTATGTATGTATGGTATTCAGCTTTGTTCGGGTATTTTCCCACGTCATTATAGTTGTGCTTTTAAAGTTGTAGCAAC